TCTGCCTCCTACTGGTAGTAGGGCATAGCTGCAGGAGAGTGTTTTCTTTCTCCAGTGAATTCAAATTCAAATATTTTACAGGTAAAAAATTGCATGATTGCAAGACTGTGGCACAATTTGTGTGTGGTCCTTTAAAAGTGACTTAAGCTGTGAAACCTAGTTGCCCCTTCACCGTTATTTGAATGTGTGGTATCATTATTACTGTGGCCCCTGGAGACAGTGAGATTACAACCAGTGACTGAGTTTCCTGCTGAGCTCAACAACAGCGTCTTTATCTCAACAGACAGACACGGGCGAGACGGGGGAACCTAACGGGGAACCTCTTTATATTATGGGTTCAGAAGTAAATCAGAAACATGTTTGATTTTGCAGCAATGAAATATACATACACAACTTTACATATATTCTACATGCATCTGTCTTTGGAATATCAGTGCAGGTGACTCAGAGTATAAAAACACAACCTGGGGATATTTTCATCTGAATCTGCCTCCTGACATGTTTTCATACTGATTGTTTTCTTGTACCTGCAGCCATCCTGGGAATGTACACACTGATGAGCAACAAGCAGTACTACGACGCTCTGGGCACCACCGGCACGATCGCCAACACAGAGGGCATCAACAGTACGTGTCACATCATCTCACAATCAAACAAATAAACTGAATTTTTTATAGTGAAAGTCACAATTACTGCTTGATCCATGTTTTTAGTTTGGACGATATGAACTTTTTCGATGTTTTAATATCAGATTTGGCTTCGTCTGCAAAAATCCACCTCTTTCAGGTTCTAGTCATAAGATATTTCTTTATTCCAATCACAATTTTATCAGTTTAAGAAAATAAATAATTCATTTACTCGTGGCACATTTGCAGAGCTCTGATGTTGTGTGTTTCAGGTGTAGTGAAGCCAGATCCATTCAAGATCTTCCCCGATGAGCCGCCCAACCCCACCAACGTGGAGGAGACTCTGGAGAGAATCCACAGCAACGACAGCAACCTGACAGATGTCAACCTCAACAACATCAAGGTCTGTCGTTTTTATCATTCACCGATAAATCCTACTTCTACGATGCTTCCTCTCAACAACAAATATTCAGAAGGAGTGGAATCAAATCAGTGAGAATATAAACAAGCTCCTGCTCGAGAGGGAAAGCTCATGAACATGACGTCTGTTTCCCTCTGTGCTGCAGGACATTCCCATCCCAACGCTGAAGGAGATCTTTGAGGCGATGAAGGGAAACTATCAAGTGGAGTCTCTGAGCATCGCCGCCACCCGCAGCAACGACCCCGTGGCCTACGTGAGTACGCCGCCCGGCCGACATCCAGCAAATACAACTTGTTATCTAGATTCTTTCAGCATCGGACATTCATGAATCTACCACATTTTATTACTGCAAACAGATGTACTGTGTTTTCTGCAGCAGGTTAATATGTTGAGATGTATTTTATTATTAAGAATTATGTGTCACTGTACCAGCAATTCACTACAACCAATTTTTCGTATACTTATATTTTGATGAATAATACTTTGTGTCTGTGTGTTTCAGGCCTGTGCTGAGATGCTGCAGGAGAACACCAGCCTGCAGAGTCTTAATGTGGAATCCAACTTCATTACTGCAGATGGCATGATGGCGATCATCAAGGCAATGGCCAACAACGCCACGCTGGTGGAGCTCAAGATCGACAACCAGGTGTGGGACTCAAACTTAGAACTGTGGATGCAACGTGAATCTCACAGGAGACGTGATGAGTTTGATATTTCTGTACTCGGTGCAAGACCCACTGTAAATGATTCAGATGTTCAAGATGAAAAGAAGAATCTTAGAAGTTTGCAGTGAGTGATGTTTTTCTATCTGTGGTGCAGAGGCAGAAGTTGGGAGATTCAGTGGAGATGGAGATCGCCTCCATGTTGGAGAACAACTCCAGCATCCTCAAGTTCGGCTACCACTTCACTCAGCAGGGTCCCCGCGCCAGAGCCGCCATCGCCATCACACGGAACAACGACATGAGTACGACACGCTACCAGCTGCACGCTCAGAACATGTGTTTAAATGTGCATGTAGAGTTCTTGGAAGAATGGGAATTGATATTGAAGGTGCAGTCGAGATCGCCTCCTTTAAAAAGTTAAAGTACACATCAAATCATTTTTCTCTCAAAGATGTTTCAGTTATTTTAGGTAAGTTTGGTTTTAATTATTTATTTGATGAAATAAAAATGGGTTTAAACGTCATGATTGACAGCTGAGATTGACTCGCAAATGGTCGGGTGCATGTATAGGAGGGAACTTGATACCACGGCAACAGTATCTGGGATAGTTTAGCTTCATGTGGAGTGTGGAGACATTTTTATTCACAGTCTATGGTTGAAATCTTCAGCTGTACTGTAGGAAACCTTGGCTGCAAACTAAACACATTGATGTGGAAGTTGTTTTGAGGTTTGTGCTCAACATTTCTCATCTTTTCTCCTCTCTGCAGTTCGCCAGCAGAGATTAAGATGAAAACGACGAGGAGCCAAGAGGAGGAACCACAACTTCCACCGCTCAGAACCTGCGAGCGCGGCCAGCGACAGCCTCGCGCCAGCTTTCTCCACGTGGTGCACCAGAGCTGAACAAATCCTCCCAAATGGTCAGCGTGGTCAGCGTGCATTCACTAACGCAACATCCATGTCCAACCATTTCATTTCATTTACCGCAGCCGGCTTCTTGTAGACTGCTGAATTCATCATAAAGGCATGTATAGGTCACAAGCAAAATGTGAAGTGTCTTCTTTTTTTTTCTGCTTTTAGTTTGTGCATCATCCCAAACAAAAGGTTAACTCTTTTCATTCATGGAAACATTTTCAATGTGGTGCTATCCATCGAAAGAAAACTATCTGTAAATACTTTAAATAAAAATATATATATTCAAGTATTTTTGCAAATGTTTGGCAATTAATTGTATTGTTTCTACATCTGAGCATTATATTCTGGACGTATGAATATTATTATCGAGACATAATAAACACGGAGGGTCTTAAAAAAAAAACATAGTTTCACCATTTCACCATTCACCAGGGCAAAATGTTTGGATCTTTTTAAAGCAGCAGCATCTAACTATTACCGATCAACAGCGCCCTCTGCAGCCACATGTGGTAATTAACTTGGTTGGAATCATAGAGAAAAAACAAAGTCTATCAATGTTTCGGGATGAAAAACAACTGATAGCTGGATATTACCCATGATTCCTGGCTTCCTGAACCAGAAGATCTGCGGCTGTAACAAATCCATCAACTCTGTTCAGAATTCTTCACATTTTAAAAGTTTCCTGCTGAATATTGGAGATAAACTCTGGTTTTTAAAAACTTCTAAGTCTTTTGAACAGATCTACAGTTCAGCTTCACTCTTCAACCTGCTGGACCTGATTCTCACAGTTGAAGCTGCGACTGTAAAGCAGCTGTCAGACCTGCACTGAACCCGCCAGCTCCCAAGTAAAGTGTCTGAAAGTGGCTTCAGTCGGTTCCACACATCTCACAGGAGATCGTACCCACTCACCAAAGTTACTTAGAGAAGATGAGATGTTCAGGGTGAGGACTGAGAATGAAAAAGGAAACATTCTCCTTAGTCACTCAACCATCAACTAATTTTAATCAAGCTGCTGCTTTAGGTTCAGAAAGTTATATAATGTTGCTTTAAGTCTAAACTTTCTGTCAATTATATAATTATAACTTTATTAAAAACTTTATTCTGCAGTATTTTATCGATGAAACCTTCTCGTAAAGTATCAAACAGCTTTAATCCCTGAAAGTCTCTCTCTGATCCCGACTTCCCTCAAGCACCTGAGCTATTTTTACCCTCCTCCCCCCAAACCCTGATGGGAAACGTAACCGAGTCCGCTGGGCTTGAGTTACCTCGTTCCAAATATAAGAGCTAACTTTAAGAGGGTTGCACCCATGTGCGTCTGCGGAGGTTTACGAACAGAAACAGCTGTTAACCTCTGAGGATTTTCACAGCATTGCTCTGGAACCTGGCCTCCATCGGCCCATTTCCTCGTTTCTTTCTGACATTATATAAAGTTTGACACGACCGCCAGGTAAAGAGCAGAAAACTGATTTGCAGACTTTCTCAAAAGGTCACATTTTTTAAGCCATGCAGACTTCACTGGCATTTGCCCACTTGACATGATTTAAACTCAGCGTCGCCGTCTCCTTCCTCCTCCGTTTGATTGTTTTGCAGTAAAACACGTGTATTTTTGGATCTTTGCACCGGATGGGGAGCATGCCGCCGCACATGTATTCACCATACTGCGTTCCATTTGTTCCTCTTGGTCATATTTGCGTCAGGGGACCGTGTGAGTCGTAACATTAAAAGGGCAGACGTGATATTAAAGGTCATGAGAACTTAAAAAAATCAATACCGCCAAGTCTCCATGACGAGCGACATTGATCTTACACGTACAGCAAATTAAGTGCGTCCCCGTGTGGTGGAGACTCCCTGAGCGCCAGAATAATGAAGTGAGCTTTCGACACTCATTAGTGGTGTCATCAGAAACTAACTCAGGTTAAAGACCATCTGCTCTCCTCCCACTGACCCCGGTATTATCCAATTTATACCAACTGTGCTGTGAAGAATGCTAACCAGTGGCTTCTCCACCCAGATTAGCACCAACACTGCAGCTCTGCGGCTGACGGAGAATTAGTCCTTCCAGATAAAAGCTATTGGACTGTGTTGAAATGGGTTAAATAAACAGAATAGGGTGATAATAATAACATAACTTTATGTGAACATATCTCAGGTCTTTGTGTTCGCACATCGTATAAATATCATATTTCAGCTTGTTGTCTGACTGCTCTTTCATTTCCCTTTAAGATATTTTGTACAAATACCTCTTTGTTTCCTTTTCTCAGGAACTACTTTAGTGAGTAATATTAGTCACAACTAAAATATTTTATGGTTAAAAGGATATATAAATATCCAGTATGATCTGTTTTCCAGACAATGTGTGGGAGAAGACGAGAACACTTGATTCTATTTTTTATTAGAATCGTCATGTCTTTAAGTCTGCTCGTTCTATGCAGCACCAAAAACAGAACATTTTCAGCACAGTGGATTCAATCTTTCTCCCAATCTATTTCTAAATCTGATTCTGTAAATGAAATGCTGTGACGTACAGAATCAGCTGACTGCGAGGAAATGATGCTTTTCATTAAATAGTCCGATCTGTTTTCAGCACAATAAAAGAATCACGAGTTGCGGTGGATGAAAACTAGAGGTTTTCTTTCACTGCTGGTGAGTGAGTGCACAGATGTAACAGTCTCTGAAACCAGCACAAGGAAATCATGTGATTCAATGAACAGTTGAAGTCTACAGGTGGAATCTCAGTTATTTCATTCAGCAGCGTGGCTTCAGGACGTACCACCACGTTAAAAGTTCATCCGTGTTTTCCCACAGTTCTTAGTCCACTGAGTGGACGAGCGACGAAGGCTCCTCCTCGTCTGAATCAAACTCCACATTCTCGTCTTTGATCCACTGGCCGCCTCGGTCCTGTAGCCACCCGTCGCTGTGAAAAAGGCAAAAGCTGAAATGCACTGTGAACTGTGAGGTGAGTTCTCAGGTTCTGAGGCCTCAGTTTGAATTCAAACAAAAGTACCTTTTCAGTTTGAGGTAGTGCTCCAGCTCTCTCCTCCTCTCGGCTGTGATTGGCTGAGACGCCTTTGCATCATGCGATGGATTTAAGTCTTTATTGTCTGCAGGAGAAAAAACATCTATTCAAACTAAAACAGTCAAAGTTCATGATGGCGGCACCAACGTACAGGATATTTAAGCTAAATTCTGAGACAACATGTCTCTACTTCCTCTTGCTGCACATCTTTATTAACAATGTAAAGCTCCCTTCAACACCACATCTAAAAAAGTAAGAACAGACTTTACCTGCTGTGGAGCCACTGGAGCTTCCCGATGGAGCAGAGTTTGAAGCTTCACTTGTGTTTTCTTGCTCAGATGCAGTTTTGCAGTGAGCGCTGTCACTGACGACTGAGCTAATGCTCGTTGGTTCTTTTTCAGACTTTGTGCTTGAAAAAAGAAAAAAAAAAAAACAGGTTTATTAACTTTTGCTTTTCCTTTTTTTCCTGGTCTATGATATTTAAAGTAGAGTGTGTGATTCCGTATACATATTTTGAAATAAGCGTCACCTGGTTTTTCGATGGCAGCTGTTGTACGGTACCGTTTTCAACAGAGCGTGATGTGTGAGCTTTCGGGTTTGTTCCAGTAAAGGGGCTGAGCTGGACGGTTCCTAAAATCACAACAACAACAACATGTTATATGTGAATAATATAAATTTCTCAAAAGTAGCTGGGCACTCGCTCAGTCGTCAGCCCTATCAAATCCCTCTGTCGAGTGTTGTTTATGTTTTCCACACCAGACAACAGTGTTGAATGTGTTGGCAGGATGTTATTTGGTCATATGATAGTCACAGGGCTGCCACACACAATAACTCCCGACAAAACAACAGCCTCTGACACAATAACAACAGTATTTGACACAAGACGACAACATGGAGCGACTGTCTCAGTCAGAGAAAAATGACGTCTTTTAACTTCACATTGTTGTTTGCTCAAAGTGATCGTTTCCCAGCTGAATAATCAGACTGACTCATATCTGTTGCTCCCGGGATCGACAGTTTTTTCTGAATTGTTTGCTCAAGCGAGTAAACTGCAATTTGCCAAAGCAAACATGCTAAAAAAAAAACCACGGTGCTAATGACAGTTACAGTAAATGGAAATATGAAATAACAAACCTGTCCCCCGTCTTCGACCTGGACGTAGTTTTCATGTCGCCTCTTTGTTATTTCATTTCTCAGCTGTGTCTTTCTGCCATAGAATGATTTTAATCCTGAAATCCGGAAATGGAACATAAAACAGAACAGGAATTGTTTTCAAAGATACTATGACAATAATACACTGTGTGGAAATATGAATTATATAAACCATTACCATACTATTATTTTATAGTTATAGAGTAGAGTTATAGTTTATAGAGATCCCTTCATTATCTCTACATCTTGGGTGATACTGTAAACCAATGAGCTCGACAGCTTTACTGCATTGAATAAGACTTCACTTAATTGATCAAGTATTTTGATAATGGGATAATTATTAAGGTTTTCATTTAAATAAAGTACAACTTCAAAATTCACAGGTTTCCACATCTTTGATATGAATGATTTCTGGTTTACTTCATCTTCAGTGATGCAAGTAAACTGAAAAAACAAGCAGATTAGTAGTAAAACTATTATTTTACTGTTTAATTCACGCAGAACACAGTGTAGATACAAGCTAGACCGAGAGTTACTGAGGCAATAAAACAATATCTATAATTATTATAATGTCATTTTCACCCAAAAACTTGTTGTGAACCTTAACTTAATAATGATAATTTGATATTTATCGTTATAATTATCGATATCGGCTGATATGAACATATGAATGGAGGCCATGTTTTCCTGACAGAGTTATATAAGTTTTATTCTCAATAAGCTTGAGGAGGAACATGTCCATTCAAACCTTTCATGAAAGTGACTCTCACCTTCCAGATGCTTTTTCCCGTTTCTGTGAACCGTCAACATGTCAACGGTGTCAAACACAGGACGATACGAGCACACGAGGCAGGAATATCTGCACAACAACAAATCACACGTTCACAACCTTTCAACACTTTAGGTTTAAAACCGTTTGAGGAGATTTTCCACCGAACATGTCCGAATGCTAAGTGAACCTCACCTTCCATTTTTCATCAGAGCTGCTTCGTCCTCCGGAATAAAGTGAGACAGGAGATTTTCCACACGTCGCTTCTGAAACACGAGATGATAAAAAAAACAGAAACAACTTTTAAGACCCTGGCTGCAGATTCCTGTTAGCTAGCATGATGCTAACAACAAAAACAACAACATGTCTATTCTGAGCCAAAGTTTCATGTAGAAAGGTTATAAATACGAAAAGTTCGACCTTCAGGATGTTTAACTGGCTCTTATCGTCACCTTCTCTTTTAAAGGACATGATTATAAAGTTTGATAATCTTAATATAGATCCCAGAAGAGAGGTGAGCTAGCTACAACACGACAAGCTAACTCCTGTTAGCAGCGATGCCTTCACCGTCAAACCGGAAGATTGGAAATACGGGCTTCCTCGTTGTACATAAAAGTTGAGCTGAGTTTTAGTTTAGTTTTTACTTTGTGTTGAACTCAACCTGGATTTAACTTTGGACTGACTCACATTGTTTATGTGTGCGACAACGTGGTTTGTTGTGAAGCCGTGTACAGTGGTGTCTCGTATGACAGCCCATTATCGCCACTTGTAATAAAGAAAATAAAGATCCTGTAAGTCATTATAACGAGAAACCCTTCTCGTAATTATGACTTAGTATATAATAATTATATTATATTAAAGTGTGTATAGTGTGGATCATGAGAAAAGATGCATGTTTATGAATATCAAATTGACTGAAGGCTATAAAAGGCTGTAGTGAGTGACGGTTTTTTCTTTTTCTAACGACCCTGAACGCAGCAGCCGGACCCCCGGCAGCCATGGCAACACATGTCAGAAGAACAGCTGACAACTCGTGAACCTGCTAACTAGGTGAGTTAACCCGGTAACTAGGTGGGTTAACGTGTTTGAGGCGGGTTACTGTGGTCACCTGTGACCTGGACTCGACAGGTGACGTCAGCAAGACACGGTCACGGTTCGATTCCCGGAACACACAACGTGCGTCAACGGTAGTTAAGTTGACGGTTAAGCTAGCAGGCTAACTAAGCTGCTAGCTGTTAACATGTTTGTTCTCATGATGTGAGTTTTACTTGAACCGCGTTTCACCGCCGGTTTGCGGACTTTCGCCGCCTCAATGTCCGGGGGGCGAACGCCTCCTCCGGCCGACGGCAGCGGCCTGCTCCGGGGCAGCCGCACCAGGTCGTACGGGAGCCTGGTCCGGGCTCCGCTGTCTCCGGTTCCTCAGAGACGCATCGAGCACGAACTTCAGCCCGGAGAGACGCTGCCGGGCCTGGCCCTGAGATACGGAGTGTCCGTGAGTACCAGCCAGTTTTATCTTGAACACAATTATATCAAGATTAAACGATTAACACAAGTTTATAAACTTTAAACTCTTATTGTTTTTACTTTGTTTCTTATTACTGTAAAAACTACATTTCTGTCATCTTGAATTATTGAGATCTACAGATTAAATGTGCAGGAGCTGCAGTGAGTTAAATGAAACTATGTCAGTGTTTCTTTCTAATCTGTTCACTTCGTATTCACATTTAACTAAAAAAACAATTTAACTGCCAATAAAATACGAATAATAATGTGTTTGTGCATCAGTGTTATTTATATCTCGTCTCCAGTCACAACCCTTTACGCCATAATTCTGAACATAACAACATAATATCTCCGTTGATAATGCATCAACCATGGACTGTTGAGTAAAGAGAGTCGAGTAAAGACCATAAATCTCAAGCAGGACACATCTCAGTTTAATTGTTTATTCACCGTTGCCATTAGGGGGGAAAAGAAAAAAGCATGATTGAAATCAGTGGAAGGAAAAAAAGAAATTGAATTTGAGTTCTGTCCTGCTTGTGATTTTATTAAATAATTGAGACTGAGAAAAGTTTAAAACAAGTCTTGATGAGTTTGTTCTCTTGCAGATGGAGCAAATCAAACGAGCGAATAGACTCTACACCAATGACTCAATATTCCTGAAGAAGTCCCTGTCCATCCCTGTGCTGTCGGACTTGGACGTCTGCAGTAACGGGCTTGACTTGGCGGCTGAAGACGATGCTGGCTGTGCTCAGAATGGGCATTCGGGGAGCGCCTCTGAGAATAAGCCCTGTGACGGCAATGAAAGGGCGGCAGACCTGACTCCAGTGGGTTTTTTGAAAAGGTTGGATGAGTTGATAAACCAGTCAAAGGAAGCTGCTGTCAAAGGAGTCCAGGACGCAGAGAAAAGGTAGAACAGCCTCTGACGGCTTGTTTACACTGGCTGTTCAGACTTTATGTTGTTTGAGTCCTGAAGCTGTTTGGTTTCTTTGTCTCTTTGCTGTATTTTAACTGTCAATATATTTAATTTGCATATCACCTCACCGCTTGTTTATTTTTGTGTCGTTAAAATCGACAGATTTATGGGTTGGAAGATAAATCGTGCGATATAAACCTTTCACAGACATTTGAGCTTGATTAATCTCAACGTTAAATACAAAGACAGACGCAGCCCTCTGTCCCATGTTGTCCGTATTTGTGCACGTCTTCTGAATGCAGCATAATTGAGCCTTCAGGAATCATTGACAATGTATTCATTATATAGATATGTAGATGCACTGGTAACACATCAGTATCAGAATTAGTTTTCATTCCACTTCGACCCCAAAAAGTATCAAGGCTCTATTTATATAATTTCATA